TAGAAGGTTGAGAAAATTTAATTGAAAAGAACGGGAACACAAAGTGATTGGTATGAAAATAAAAAAAGAACAATAAATTTTAAGATAATTGATAGACATTTCGGAAATGAAGTACTGAACATATGACTCTATAATCTTGTATTCAAATACGTTTGGTTTGTACCCCCCCCCTCACGTGTGTTCTCTTTCACTATATCAGAAGATTATAAAATCATTCTTTTTTAGAAGTGTTAGCTGTAAATTCAAGTCAGAAGACGGTAATGGTGGATGTATACGAAAGTTGTAAAAATCTTGACCATTCCAACATGATTCATTGGTTTTATATAGTACTACTTTAACTACATATATTATAGGTAGTACGTTTATTCTTTTATTGGGTCACCCGCTACGAGTACTATGTCTAAGCATTTGGCTTTTTGAGGAAGTTCAAAAAACTTTCTGTATAAGTCATCTTTCACTTCATCATGGTTGCAGTCAGTGGGAGCCTAGGCAGAAACGATGAAAAATGTTCTTCCAGAGGTACCTTAAAAGGAAATTCGGTTAGAAGTGGTCTTAGTGATCTGAGAGCGTGACCACAGTGCACAAAAGACAACTGCCTGAAGTCGGTCACACATGACCTTTTTGTGGGGGATTTTTGACGTGTTAGCTCCGTTCTTTAAACGACCTTACCACCGGAGACGGAAATCCGTGGGGAAAGGCGAGGTGTGCATTTTTGGGGTCCAGCTTTTCTAACCCCACCCTTCCTTGTGGGAAGGCAGCGTCGCTGTCGTGCTGGTTTTCTGAAGGAAACACCCTACTGCTGTCACACCTCTGTACAGTCGGCAGTACGACTTCACCTTCGGACCATGGGATTGCTGCTTTTAGTCTTACTACTCTTCAACCGACCTGTCTGACATGGTGGGACGTTGAGGAACGATTGTTTCAGTCAGTACAGCTCTATTGGTTCATCACAATAGTCAAGCCCGACGACCCCGTCAAGGTAGCAGCAACGGTCGGATGTCCATCTTCCTTTACAGTTTATGATAAAAATTACATACATAAAGTAAACGCTGATTAGGTAAAGCATCAGTGTGTTAACTGAAAGTCGCAGGAAACATGGTGGATTTAAGGTCAATAAGAACCAATCAACATCGAGGTGCAGAGGACAAGCTGTGAATCACATGTGGAGAAATTCAAATACTTCACTTCTACCCGAAGTTTGTGCTGATGATGTCGTTCAGAAGGACGATGAAAGCTCCACGACTAAAACATCCAGCTCAGAGAACAAAACAACATCAAAATCGCAGGAAACATGTTAATAAGTTTAAACATATTCAATGTTTTTGGTGGAGTTTTGTTTTCTAAGCTGAATAGTTTGCTAGTAGAGTTTTCATCGTTATTCTGAATGACATCATCAGCAAAAAATTCAAATAGAAGTGAATTGTTCGTAATTCTCCACATATGGCTCACACCTTATCCTGTAGACCTCAATCTTGATTGGCTATTGTTGACTTTTAACCTGTCATCGTCTATGTTTTTATTCTGATTCTATCTCTCATTAATATGATTCTTGATCTTATATTTGACCAAACATTATCTGATTGGTTGATAAATTGGATCGATTTCAATATGTTTGTTGATTGAGATCTTGAATAGCGCCAATTCTAGAAGCATCAGGGAATTTTTAGAATCTTAACACTCAAATCAATCAGCAACCAACATCACGATGAAATCGATCCAATCTATCATCTAATCGGAAAATGTTTGGTCAAATATAGCACTAGAAATCAAACTTACTCGACATACAACCAAAATAAAGACGCAGACAATGTGAAGCTAAAAGTCAAGATCGAGGTCTAAAGAACAAGCTTTTAGCTGTATGTAGAGAACTTCGAATACTCCACTACTACCTGAAGTTTGTGGTAATCGTGTTCTTCAGCAGAACAATAGAAGCTGCACAATCAAACCATCTAGTTCAGAAAACAAAACTCCAGCAAAATCATTCACCTGAGCTAAAAATCTTCCCCAACCATCTCAGGATAAATGTTAACCGACGTTTTTATTCAAATTTCATGAATCGGTCAAAACCCAAAACGTAAATTCTTAATTCTGATAATTTACAGATATAACGTAATGGTCATTGATGATGCATAGACTGCATTAACCAATACTGTGTACTACTAGACATTCAGTAATACATCTCAAAGAATATTTGGGTAGTTTGAAAACATGAAGTAAAAATTTTTATAAAAATAAGCGTAAAACTTAATTTTATAAGAAGTTCTATAGAAGGAACTTTCATAACCCAAGTCAAGACTAATCTTGACTAAGTTATCTAAGAGTTGCTCATTCATTACACTCTCTGATAGAAGTGTAAATATGCACTGCTGAACAATTCATTCCATCATAATGGAATGATATAAATGTTCACAGATCTTTAATTTTGTACAATTATCTATGATATACAATTAAAAATCATATCTTACTTACTTACTTAAGCCTGTTACCCTCATGGAGGAGCACTGGCCGCTCACCAGTATTCTCCATCCAACTCTGTCCTGAACAATTCTTTCCAGTTTTTACCAGTTAACATTCATCTTTTTCATATCTGATTCTATTTCCCTGAGTAATGTGTTCTTTGGTCTTCCTCTTTTCCGCTTCCCTTCCGGATTCCAAGTTAGGGATTGAGTCGTGATGCACATTGGTGATTTCCTTAATGTATGTCTTATCCACTTCCAACGTCTTTTCGTAATTTCCGCTTCAGCTAGAAGCTGATTTGTCCTCTCCCATAAAATGCTGTTGCTGATAGTATTCGGTCAGTAAATGTTGAGTATTATGCGTAGACAACTATTTATAAATACTTGTATCTTCTTGATGATGGTTGTAGTAGTTCTCCACGTTTCAGCTCCGTACAATAGAACCAACTGTTTTGACGTTCGTATTGAAGTTCCTCACTTTGAAATTTAGTTACCAACTAAATCTAGTTACTATTTATTATTTATCAACTATGATGATATAATGATAATGATTACAACTTATCATTTTTTTTATTATTTTCAGTCAGTTATATTGAATACTGTAGCCATAGTGTATTTAACTTTGTTCATTCATTATGAATGTATGGTTAGCATTTTTTTTCTTTTTAGCAAGTTTTTCTTCTATGAGAATGGGCTACAAATCCCATACTCAACCCTCCTACTTTATCCAGGATTGGAACCAGTAGTTGTAGTAGTAGCCCTAGAAGGGCTCCAGGTGGAGTTATCTTGAATGCATGTACATATTTATTATAAGACAGTTATATGAATATATTGTATGTTGAATGGTCTTGCTTTTGTATGCATGACCCTCTTGAATGGTATGATTATGCATTGAATTTACATCATTATATGATTGATTCTATTTTGGAAGTATTTTTTCTTTCCATGAAAGTCTAGTGGCTTTTATTGTCAGTTCTGTGAACTTATCAGAATTCTGTAAAGTCGTCTTGTTCGTTCTTTTTTTTAAACAATAAATATCATAACCGTTTATTCTTAGGATCTCTATTTTCGTGGTTGAGTTTGATATTACAGAACGAATAACCATAATTTCAGTGTTGTTCATCCGCATTTAAATTGATAAGATGGCGTTTGAGGCGAAAGGTACTGAATTCGAGTTCCAGAGTGAACATCAACTCAGAGATGCAGGTACATCCAGTTGACGAGTCCCAAATAGAACGAAACGCGCGTCCTGGATTCCACTGCTAGCCATTATCCATCTCTGTTAACTCCTTGTATCTACTGATGCCGATTCACAGTTGAAACATCAAAAAGTTTGAAAATTCTTTCTTTAATATGGAATGATTCAATATTGAATAATAACAATAATAATAATAACGATAGTAATAGTAATAATGGTAATGGTAATAGTAATAATAGTAATGGTAATAGCAATAATAGTAATGGTAATAGTAATAGTAATGGTAATGATACTAATATCACATGACTACTCTATATGAATGTCTTCATTCAATAGATTTAATAAGTAGGTATTCGTAGTGTGCTCAAGTGTATTCAATTCATCGTGATACTACTTGTTTTTGTTTTTTTTTAAAACACCTTTTTATGAATATATATATACTACTTATATATTACTGATATATTTTATATCTATTTTCTATTGGGAATTTTCAGTATATGGATTACTTTTAGATTACAAATGTATTTCTTTTATTGTAAGAATATCAAATATTGTAAAATTGACAGTTAATCATATGTTCAATGTTCTGTAACCATTTTCATTATAAAAACAGAAAACAAATTGGAGAAGGGGGATAGAGAGAGAGAGAGAGAGAGAGAGAGAGAGAGAGAGAGTGGGGGAGTAAAAGAAAGAGAGAGAGAGGGGATTGTGCAAGCACAACCTACTTCATACAATTCATTTCTTTATTTGATCTATCTATTACTTTTGTTTGTTTGTTTTTAAACATTCTTATTACTTCATGAGTACAATGATCAAAACATCATTGTTTTGATTAAGATGATGAACTGATTGATGTTAGACTACCTTTGAAAACCTGAATCTACTAGACGGCCATTTCGTACTAGTATGGGTAGTATATTCACGATTCCTCATGTTGAACTCGAACCCTGGATCTTCTGTCTCACGTGCGAACGCTTAACCTCTAGACCACTGAGCTAACATCTAACGGTGTGAATTGTTGAGGTTAGACATTAACACCGCTGGATGCTAGCTTGGTAGCATAGAGGTAAAGCATTCTCTCGCGAGACCGAAGATCCTAGGTTGGAATCCTGCGAGCAGGATCGCGGATGTGCACTGATGAAGAGTCCGATAATAGGACGGAACAGTCATCTTGTAGTTACATAGCTCATTTAGTATTCTCAAAAACTTTCTAATTTCTTCACATCATTCTACTATTCTATTCAGTTAAACTTAAAGTTTTACTCAAATAACAAATTTTACATTGAATTCTTTCAAATCATACGATTCTTATAACGACGCTTTTTTGTATTTTCTTTCTTTAAAAGTTCAACCTCAAAGAACATCAAGTCAAATGAATATTAGTGGACCTAGTACAATGACTAAAACTGCATGGTTATCAGGTATGTAGAAAGTATTCATTTACTTATAAATCAACTATCATTATGTGCATTGAATTATATTAAAATCATGAATCGATCTAAGTTAGACCACTGTTGAAAACTTTGAAGAACTACAGGGTCATTTCGTCCTAGTATGAGACTCCTCATTAATGCTCATTCATAGTTTCGTAACAGCTAATCTAACCTACCACTTTTGGTTTCGAACGTGAACAATTAACGTCTAGTCTAGTCGGAATTCAACAGTATTAATGTCTAACTTCAGTTAGTCTACGACATTGGGTGATCATCTTTTATTGTCTTTAGTAAATGACTGTTTCATACCCGACATGATTTAATTTCATCTAGCACTTATTTAAAACAATTAGTCCCTTTTGTAAACTTTGATAGAACAATGAGAAGAAACAATTAACCTGAAAAGTATGATCTGTTTGAGATTTACATTTTAAAGCATTTATGAAAACCAATAGAGGTTACATAAATCAAAGCTCAAATAAACAAAGGTAAGTAGAAAAGGTAATGCAATAGGCAAAGAGCAGAAAGTTCTCACATCATCACAAACCATAAAATAGCTTAAAGGTTGTCAAGACAGATTCAAGGTTGGTAAAAATTGTCTTGCTTCTATGAATCTAAGAATCCATCCTTAATAGTTCAATGAATATGGTTTTCTATTGAATAGTTTTACCGTAGCAATAGGACACTAATTCATTCTGAAGTCATCTAAGTGTATATGTTCCCTAGCTCTTGGTTTTATTGTTTAATTACTCCTCTGTAAGTGCATGTGTCCACACAAACATGAGAATTGATAAATCCAACGGGATATGACATAATAATTTATGTAATGTCTAGGCCTATGTGAAACCATAGGTTTAGTTTTACCAATAACAATCAATTTAGCAGCAGAGAATGTTTTCTTACTTACTTACTTACGCCTGTTACTCCTAATGGAGCATAGGTCGCATGTTTTGTTAGTGTCCGCTTTTAGTCTCTTCCCCCAAAATTATGCTATTTGACTCTCCCTTAAATGGTAAATTGATATATATCCTTTACTTAGTAACAGAATTCAAAAGTTTTCTTGTTAGCTAACTTTTGCATCAATTTATAAACTTCAGCGAATAAACTTTTTTGGGTTAGCAATTTTGTCACCATCTCGGGTAAATCTGTAGTGTATATTCGCTGAGTTCTGTTGTAAAGGCGATTTACCAAACTTCGTTCGTACTGCGACGAATAGAAACCGTGGAATTTCAGATATTTCTCAGTCCAGGTTGACATCTTATGAACGTATCGTATTACAGTTCCATCCTTTCTTCGGTTCAAATTATATCTAAAAAGGGCAGTCGGTTATTATTTTCATTATAAGTAGGTGGCATATCATTCTATACATGATTAAGTCTATCTAATAACCGATATACATGGAACTAATTATCACATACGACTAATATGTCATCTATCTACCTCCTATATAGATTTACTTCGTTTAGCAGCTCAGTCGTCATACTTTAAACATGTAGCGTATTTACATCAACAAAGAGAGGTATAACACTTCGTTGCCAACAGACATTCGTATACTTATCACGGAATAAACACTTAATGACCGAAGTGCCTAGCACACTTATCAATCACGAGCCAATATCTATCACAACATTAAGTACTGCTTAACTTGAAATTAGTTTGTAGAACAGCTGTTGTGGCGGCTTAACTAAAGGTTCCATAAAGTCACTGATTGTTGGATTAAACATTTTTTCTATGAATATGATTACGTACAATAAGGGTTACTGTAATCAACATATCTAAAAATCGATTTCCGTAATGTAGATACATTCGCTTCCTAGCTTGTTTTAGATCTTATATATAGGATTATTTCATTACTACTGTTATGTGTTAAGAAGACTGTTGATTCGGAAGCTTTACATAACGTATTAACTTTGACTAAACAGCTGTCAAAAAATAAACACAATTGAACAGCTGCCCATAATCAAATCTCCCTCGTAACGTGGGTCTACAACCAAACGCCACGGACTAAACCTTGAACATTCAGGTCTCTCAACGAGCGTAAGATCTTTATATATATAAGCCTATGTACCCTGTTGATAAGCTTTGATTAACAATGACACCAAGCATAACTACATCATACATGTTTTTTTCTAATAATTTAGAAACTAATCTGAGGAATAGTACAACATGTAAACAACCACCAATGTATTCAACATATTCAGCTCATAAAGAAAATATGAGACGAATGCAAGAACAAAGAAGGACAACAGAAGATTGGGTAAGTTCAACAGATCCTATTTTTCTTTGAAGATTTCACTATCCAATATATGTATATGCATGACATCTGACAATTTCTGAACAGAACGAATTCGACAGTCAGAAGTTAACTTCTTAGACTACGAAATTGAGTTCCATAAGTTCGTGCCTCATAGGGAACCTCGGTCCTTTCAGAATAACAGACAGTACAAACCAAAATGTGAGCTTATTATCAGACTATATCTCGATTATCTGAAATCTTAGAAGTTACACATTTCTAGTTGGGCTGAATAAAGCAGTGACTACTTCTTTAATTTTCGAGAAAAACTACGATATACCTTGTATAATTTAACAAACTTGTATCTTAATATCGAATTGACTACTGATCATAATTTTATGTCAAACTGTTTGTTTTCAGATGCGAAATAGTGTAAGTATAATCTTGAGTTATATAATACTTTTGACATTTTATTTGAAGTAAACATCATCAACGGTAACAATGTGTTAAATAATAAAGAGAGTTATATAAGTTACGCTCCTCGTTGAGGATCAAAGTCCGCCCGCCAACACTCTCTTCATTCAACTTCGTCCTAGGCAATCTTTTCCAGTTCTTTCTAGTTTAGTTAGCAAAAGTTTAACTGCTGAGATAATTGATGGACTGTCTAAGTGATGCAGTCCCACAGCTTCATTGAAGGAGATTACTGTCTAGAGGTATGAGAACATGACTAAATTACTTAAGTTTGTTACTCTTCGTTGGGTACCATAAGCCGCCCACAATCATTATCCATCCAACTCCGTCCTGGACAATCCATTCTAGTTGTTTTCAGCTGCTATTCATTCTTTTTATATCTGCTTCCGATTTCCGATGTAGTGTGTTCTTCGGCCTTCCTCTTTTGCGTTTTCCTTGAGAATTCCAAGTTAGCGCTTGCCTCATGATGCAGTTTGGTGATTCCTGTACGGTACGTAGATTTAATCCAAGGAGACTATCTTAAAGAATGATCTAAGACATATAATAACTATTTATGAATAAATGGAATAACTGTTTTTCATGTGAGATCTTTTAAAGCTTGATGATATTGCTCTATGTTTTTTCGTCAGAAACATTACTTGAAGAATTTGATTATTTTCAATGTCTTTAGTTATGTTTTGATGAAAGTTCCTGTCATAAATCGGAAAGGTACAAAAACCTACTGAATACTTGAAAGTACAAGACGTTTAACTTATCATCGTTCCAGACTCTGTTGTAGAGCTCAGCTACGGTCTCATACATAGTCAAAAGTCTATAATCTTCAGATTTTAAAATGAGCGTACCACTACTTTTGTTTTTTGTCGTAGATCTCTCAGTGCAAGCACTACGGTAGGTTAGTGAACGTGCACTCCTGAAGAGTCTTGTACTAAGACGAAAACTAACACGGGAGCTTTCAAAATTTACTGAAAGTAAATTAGATTGTTATATATTAACGATGATAATTCACCATTTCTGTTAAATATTATTTTGTACAATGAATATTTTAGCAAGCATCCAATAGACAACTACATGATTCCAGATCAGTGGGTAGTCGTGCTGTTTTAGAAGAAATGGAAACAATAACATTACAACCAATTGGTCGTGGTGTACACGATCTAGAACCACCAACTGGTTCTATAGCTAGATCAGTTCGTGCTACAACACCAAGTGGTTAGTTTTGATGATATAGCGTGTACTGTTTTTATTATTTCGGCGTAATTTGTATGTAACAATGATATATTATGAAATTATGGCAATGGAATGAGTTATATTATTAGGATGTATTTCCCAAATCTATAAAGCAGGCCACATAACGCGATAACATTTGAAGCAAGCGGTATCGGGTTCGAGTTCCAGAGTGAATATCAACTCAGTTGCATGTATATCCAACTGACGAGTCCCAAGTAGGACGAAACATGCATCCTGGATTTCACTGTTAAACACCATCCATCTTCGTTACGAATATCGGAAACTTTTTTAAAATGTTGCCTTATGTGTTTATTCAGTTTTTCTCTACAAATAGTTATGATAATCCATATCGTTCCAATGGTTTGTAAAAGGATCACTTTTTGTGAGAATGGGAAAAGGTTCGTAATCTTCTGCATGTGTTTCATATGAAAGCTGAATTATCCATATATGTTTATGATGACACTTCATGGTACTTGTCTTCAATACACTTATAATATACATATCACTAATGTACATTACTTACTTACTTACGCCTGTTACCCCTCGTGGAGGAGCATAGGCCGCTCACCAGCATTCTCCATCCAACTCTGTCCTGAGCCTTCCTTTCCAGTTCTTTCCAGTTGCTATTCATCCTTTTCATATCGGCTTCTATTTCCCGGCGTAGTGTGTTCTTTGGCCTTCCTCTTTTCCGCTTCCCTTCCGGATTCCAAGTTAGGGATTGAGTCGTGATGCACATTGGTGATTTCCTTAATGTATGTCCGATCCACTTCCAACGTCTTTTCCTTATTTCCTCTTCAGCTGGAAGCTGGTTTGTCCTCTCCCATAAAACGCTGTTGCTGATAGTATCCGGCCAATGGATGTTGAGTATTTTGCGTAGACAAGTGTTCATAAATACTTGTACCTTCCTGATGATGGTCGTAGTAGTTCTCCACGTTTCAGCTCCATACAGTAGGACTGTCTTGACGTTCGTATTAAAGATTCTGACCTTGAAATTGGTTGAGAGTTGTTTTGAGTTCCATATGTTCTGCAATTGTAGAAATGCTGCCCTTGCTTTGCCAATCCTCGCCTTTACATCTGCATCCGATCCTCCTTGTTTATCAACGATGCTCCCCAGGTACTTGAATGTTTCCACCTCTTCCAGAGTTTCGCCATCAAGTGTGATTGGGTCGGTGTTCTCCGTGTTGCATTTGAGAATCTTGCTTTTTCCTTTGTGAATGTGGAGGCCTATCGATGCGGAGGCTGCTGCTACATTTGCTGTCTTCATCTGCATTTGTTCGTGTGTATGAGAGAGGAGGGCTAGGTCATCTGCGAAGTCCAAATCATCTAATTGATTCTGAGCTGTCCATTGTATTCCGTATTTCCCTTCAGATGTCGAATTCGTCATAATCCAGTCAATCACTAGAAGGAAGAGGAATGGGGAGAGTAGACAGCCTTGTCTGACTCCGGTCCTTACTGGAAATGCATCTGTCAGCTGTCCTCCATGCACCACTTTGCACTGTAATCCATCGTATGAGTTTTGGATAATGTTGACGATCTTCTGAGGAACTCCATAGTGTCGAAGAAGCTTCCATAATGTCCTCCTGTCCATGCTGTCAAACGCCTTCTCATAGTCGATGAAGTTGACGTATAGTGATGAGTTCCACTCAACTGATTGTTCAACGATGATCCGTAGTGTCGCAATCTGGTCTGTGCACGACCGATCCTTACGGAATCCAGCCTGATGATCCCTAAGTTCGGCGTCTACTGCGTCTTTCATCCGATTCAGCAGCACTCTGTTGAAAACTTTTCCTGGTACTGATAACAAACTGATGCCTCTGTAGTTCTCACATTGGCTCAGATCTCCTTTCTTTGGTATCTTGATGAGATATCCTTCTTTCCAGTCCGTTGGCACTTGTTCCTCTTCCCAAATCTTCTTGAATAGAAGGTGAAGCATGTTTGCAGTTATTTCAATGTCTGACTTCAGTGCTTCTGCTGGTATATTGTCAGGTCCTGCCGCCTTCCCACTTTTGATTTGTCTGATGGCCATCTTGACTTCTTCGATCGTTGGTGGAGTGACATCTATTGGAAGGTCAGTGTGGGCTGCTTCGATGTTCGGTGGATTCGATGGGGCTGGTCTATTCAGCAGTTCCTCGAAGTATTCTGCCCATCTTTTCCTCTGTTCCTGAATCTCAGTGATTGTCTTTCCTTCTTTGTCTTTGACTGGTCTCTCTGGTTTGCTATATCTCCCTGCCAATTTCTTCGTTGTATCATATAGTTGTTTCATATTCCCTTCTCTTGCAGCTTTTTCCGCCGCCGTTGCTAGTTCTCCCATGTATTTCTGCTTGTCGGCTTTAATGCTTTTCTTCACTTCTCTGTTTGCTTCTGCGTAGTCTGCTTGTGCTTTGACTTTCTCTGCTCGTGTTCGGCTGTTGTTAATTGCTAGTTTCTTGTTCTTCCTTTCTTGAATTTTGTCTAGGGTTCCCAGAGAGATCCATTCCTTGTGATGATGCTTCTTAGGACCAAGAACCTCCTGACACGTTGAAGTTAGTGCTTCTTTTATCCCTTTCCAGTTGTCCTCCAAAGTAGTTTCTTGTTCTTTCAGTAGATCCTGTAGAGCTTGGAACCTGTTGTTGAGAGTTATCTTGAATTCATGGAGTTTGTCAGTATCTCGAAGGAAAGCTGTATTAAACCGTTGTAGTGCTGTTTGTCCAGTTGTCCAGTCTTTCTTTAGCTTCAGTCTCATCTTGGCCACAACCAGGTGGTGATCTGAAGCTATGTCAGCTCCTCTCCGGGTTCTCACATCTTCCATTGATCTTCGGAATTTTTTGTTGATACAGATGTGATCTATCTGGTTCTCTGTGGTGTGGTCCGGTGAGATCCATGTGGCTGTGTGTATGCGTTTGTGTGGGAATATTGTGCCGCCTATTTGGCTATTTGGCTGGTCTTTCCTGTTTCCCACATTGTCCGGACGTTCCATGTACCTATAAAGAGTGTTGCTCTGGTTGTTAGAAGGTGCATCGGTCTCGTGACTTCCGAAGAATTTCGGCTTTCATCATGAGACGTCATTATTCCTTCAACTCCCAGGGCAGAGTTTAAATGGTTTGGATTATTTTTTCTGGTTAGCGTTTTTTTAGCGAGTTAGCTTTTCTACGGGATGGGGTCGCTAACCCCATGCCCAACCCTCCTCCTTTAACCGGGCTTGGGACCGGCAGTAACTCTAGAAGAGCTACAGGCGGAGTTATTAATGTACATAATTAACTAAATAAGCACCAAGGTAGTGGTAACTTTCTGGGAGATCATTTTTGGAAAATGTCTGCTAATCACATGTAATTATACATGTATATTTTGATAGAGTTTTGTTCTTTGAGCTGGATAGTTTGGTTGTGAAGCTGGTATCGTTCTTCTGAGCAACATCATCAACATAAACTTCAGGTACACGTATATAAGATGGTTACAGTCTCTTATGAATCGGAAGTACCATTTTCCATAATTTGGATATTTTCGTCTGGAATTTCTTCAATGTTAACTCTGAGATGTAGATACATTCAGCTGACGAGTCCCAAATAGGACGAAACGCGCGTCCTGGATTCCACTGCTAACTACTATCCATCTTTGCTTACCAAAATTCAGTAGTGTTTGTAAACGAAAGGTGCCTAGAATACTTTGAAACAATTTGATTTATTCCCTTAAAATCTAGGAAAAATCTAATAAAGAACTTATGATGTGCTTGCTACATAGTTAAGTTGAACATCACAAGATCTATTATGAAGTATGGTAATGCTTTCTTGAAGCTTCTAAATCTTCATACTCACGTGGTATACTCTTTTCTACGTATGAATTGACTTTCATTGTGCATTTTCCATATTTCTACAATCCATTTGAAGTATCAAAGATTATGAGAGTCTAGGAAGCAGTAACGATGTCAGTATCGAAAGATTTCGATTCAACAACAGCTATATTCATTAAGGAATACATTTTATACCTGTCTAACGACCAGAGTATATCGACCTTCACTAGTCAACTATTAATGTACACAAAAAAAGAACGCACAAATAATTCTAAACCAAGTCATTCTGCTACCTTTCTAATGTCAATCACATTTTTTTTAGGTTTATCTACATTTCCAACGTTACTTAATCGACCACATTCATCAGCTGGAAGAATAGATCTATCCGTATCAGGAATAAAACGTTCCATTAGTAAAGATTATTATAGTCCAATAAGAATGCAACGTAGTACTATTGATATACCATATAGTCAAACAACACAAGCATTAATAAGTCCACCTATAAATAGACGATTAGTTGGTTTTACTAATCTTGATCATTCATCTCGTATATCAAGTATCAATAAAAATATACTACTACCTACTATACATCATGATCCGATCATATATGGTAATCATATAGTTAATAATCAATCACCAGAATTAATAAATCAATCATATATGAATAGAAATTCATATGCCAGGCAAACACTTACACAAAATATTCAAGAAATTACCCAGAAACAACGATTATTATCACCTAATCAACAATATTATGCAACACCTAGTTACAATAAGTTAGGTAAATCAACTAAGTTAATCGCTACTCACAATTCGCTTCTTATAACAACTAAAAAATAGTATCTATGAAAGCTAACTACTACTATAAACCATTAGATCATATATATAACCATATTTTGATGAATAAAGTATATTCTATATGCTCATTTCCATGTGCTCATCCTAACTATATATCTGATATAAACAAATTTATCATTTGAGTAATTTCCTACTTGATTTTTTCAGTGACGTTTGTATGATTCTATACTGATATTCAATATAACATGGGGGGTTTTTGTGGAGATTTTAGTAATTTTATCGTTGAATTCATTAGTCAATTGAAGCTAGAACACCATGGAAGAACTGGACGGCCGTTTCGTCCTATTGTGGTACTCTTTAGCAGTGGTCTAGTGGTTAAGTGCTCGCGCGCGAGACTAATAAGTCATCTGTTCGAATCTCTTGAGGTGGGATAATGGATACACACTTCTGAGGAGTCCCATAGTTGGACGAAATGGCCGTCCAGTGCTTCCAGGTTTTCCATGGTGGTCTAGTTTCAATTGACTCATAATGCCAACTGTGAAAATACTAAATTCTTCACAAAAGAAACCCCCTCTGAAAAATTATTTCTTTGAATCAATAAAATCGACCAAATTAATTTAACCGCTTATTGTAAATACTACTAAAATTTTTGAAAAGTAGTAACATATTTAATCAAGAAATATTTTATCAATCTATACAATGATTAACTGTATGTCAAAGCTCGAGACCTGACTCTAATTAGATCGAACGATATTGTCGACGGGCTCACCACTTTTGTGGCCCTATATCTGACTCCAATTAGATTGGACAAATGATCCTTATTGAATGATTACTGTCGAAATATACATCCTGATTATTCTCGTATATAATTATCGACTCAATCTATGTTAATGAATAACGTGATTAATGAAGTTAAATACGAGAATGAAGTTTTGAATACCTATAATTTTGTAAGCGCATTGATCTGGACAGACAATCAGATAGACGAAGCTAAGAGAAGAGAGCGAAGTGAGATGAAACGTAGTGGAGAAGGCATGTGAGCCAACTTCATTTAATCAAGCTTGAATCGATATTTACAGTCAGACTAAGATAGGTTGCAAACAAGTGGTGATTAGGATAAGAAATGGACATACATTCACTCATATAGAAACAGTCAGGGTTGATAAGTGAATAAATAACAAGGTCAAAATATGACTCAAGAAGAATGGGTTAATCGGCCTGTCCAGAAGCTAGAATACGTTATATGAGCCTAACATAGTAACCGACACTACAGATTGACTGAATAAGCTGGTAGTCATTCTAATAGCTTCTTTCTAAAGTACATGAAGATGATCATTTTGTTTAGAAAGATCATGAAATCTTCATAAATGAATCATCAATCAGCTACAACGTAGGACCAGGCACATTTATGTATCGGTCCAAATTGCTATACCTCGTTAGCACAACAAGATGAACACCGGATTCATAGAAAGTAGTTAATTTAGTGGTGGTGTGGTGTGGTCTACTTATATACATATAAGTAGTATATGGTGATGGTCAGACATAGAATGTATTTTGGCAGACGACCGATGAGGACAGAACTGAAATGAAGCGCAATTGGTAGGAAAGTGCATGAACAATGGAATTAGAGAAGATGAACTGAGATTTAAAGAAGAAACATTGAAGATTGAGACCATTGTTTATTATTTTGCAAATTAACTGTTCATTGTATGGTTATCAGAATTTACTGAGATAGTCTGTGATTTTTGATTCAATACATTCGATTGTCCCAACCAGTGTTTTGTTCACTACAGTGGTAGTATATAAAAGATAGGCTGTATATAAGGGTATAGTATAGGAAGAAAGACACGTATGAAGCACTTTTAATCTCAAGGTTTAAGGGAAGCTATCGAGTGTAAACACCTACGCGATTGTGATTGATTCTGAGCCATATTACAGTTTAGGGAACACAATTCGCCTTCAGGACTATTTTCTAATAGACACTTGACAAACTTTACATGATAAGAACATTATTTTACCATACAGTCCAACATAATTAGGATTATATCGTTATTATTATGATTTGAAAGTGATTAATTTGTACCCAGTTGTTGGTCTTATTTGCCGATCAGCTGACTGACATGACGTACTGAGATAAATCTACACTCAATAAATGCATTAAGAACTGAAAGTGAAGAAGATAAGAAGGCGTTTATGTGTACAATTCTCCTAAACCTAAAACCATTTTAATACAAGGAGCTTGAGGAGATTGTGACTGATCATAGTTAGACAACCTAATTGAATAAAATTCAAAATGTAAACTATTACATTCTAACTCAATGATCTAAAGAGAAAACTCTCTCTGCCAGACCTGAAAGTATTTGATTCTATTCTTGATAAGGTCATTGATCAGCACTGCTGGATCTTGTACTAAAACACAGCTACTCAATCCTTTATAGTTTTCTATGGTTGTTTAACTAAGGTCAATCCTTGGTATAATCAATAAACTATATGTTTAAAAGACTATTGATGATTGTTAAAGGCATTAAAATTGGATTACTATGAAAACATATATGTGGTTAAGAGCTTATTAAATGAGAAAACAAGTGGAGATAATCGAATGTATTTGAACACAACATTACAGAATCCCTTCGTAAAATCTGAGATCCACACAGTAAATACTTCATTTGCAGAATGTCAATCAATCGTCTCAAACTTCATTGTTCTTTCGTTTCCAGATCAATCATTCTTGTTCTCTCTTCTTCGATCTTTTTGACCTTCTGCAGCCAGGCATTTCATTTTCGATTAGTAATACATACTACTTATATCTGTCGATATCAGTAGCATACACTGCAAGAGTCTTACTAGTGAGGATATCACTTTACCAATTATGAATTCAAAATACTATTGAGTTATAGGGTGAATTTAATCGATTAACATTTAAAATACTTGCTCCATATTATACTATTAATCATTTTATTCAGAAGGGGTTTTCGTGGAGATTTCAGTATTTTCACAGTTCAGACCATGAGTCAATTGAAGCTAGACCATCATGGAAAACCTGGTGGTCTATCGGTTAAGGACTCTGGCTCGAGACTGGTAGGTCCTGGGTTCGAATCTCACGAGTGCGGGATCGTGGATGCGCACTGCTGAGGAGTCCCATAATAGGACGAAACGGCCATCCAGTGCTTCCAGGTTTTCCATTGTGGTCTAGCTTCAATTGATTCATGGTTTCAACTTTGAAAATCATTTTATTCTCATATAATTTAACACATAATTATACACTACTTATTTATTTATTCATTTAATTACATTATAACAAACAACAACAACAACAACAACAACCATTTAACCATTTAAGTTACATTATACCTTGTTTATAACAGAGATAATTCATGATAGTCTATGTACAGTAGTCCATTAACAAGTTAATCAGTTATACTACTTATATTACTTATATTGCTTACATTTGATTTCATTCTATTAGTTATTATTTAACCAGTGTAATGGTGAATATAATGACTTTGTTCATAGCTTATATATACATATATATATTTGGAACTAATTATTTTTGATAGTTGAATTCATGAGTCGATTGATGCCAGACCACTAAGGGAAAATTTGAAGCACTGGAATAGCATTTTGTCTTAGTATGGAACTTCTCGGTAGTGCGCATCTGCGATCGCGCTCATAGGATTCAAACGCAGGACTATTAAAAAGGACTACAATATCCATAAAATCACTTTCTAAAAATAATCATTATGTGTACATGAGGGACTAGCTACATGAGTTATTTCCTAGAATTCTAGTAAGAAACCGTGACCAGTGGAGTTCAATCGTGTCTGAATACAATAGATGACCGCCCAATATCATGAATTGATTGAATTTAGACATTAACACCTTTAAATGCTGACTCAGTGGTCTAGAGGTTAAGCGTTCTCCCACAAAACCGAAGGTCCTGGATCCGAGTGTGGTATACTGGTTGGTAGATACATACTACTGGTGAATCCTATACTGTGATGAAACGGTCATCTAATACTTCCAGGTTTTCCATGGTGATTTAGCTTTAATAGACTAATGAAAAATTACTACAATAACCATAAATACTCCATTCTGATAATTAACTGTTTTGGTTTCAATTAATAATATAATACTTTTTTTTATCAAATAGCGAATAGATCATACGCTCCTGGATTAGAACAACAAGATGGTTTTCGTACAATTGCAACAACAAATTATCATCGTGAAATGCATACATCTGGACCACAATCACCATATCTGTAAGTTATCCACTTTTTTTCTCCGAAATTACATGAAGAGATCTATTTTGCATATTATTAATTGTGAGATATTGAATAAGAAGGCGTAAAATTGATCTAACGAGAAGTTTATAATTTATGGACGAACCAATCAGATTTACTATAACAGATCTTGGATTTTGGCGCCATATTCATTTACTCATTTAACCAAATAGAGTCTTGACATTTTGATTGATGTCAATTCATGATGAAAACTTTAAATCTCATTGTTATCTTTAACCATCAACTGTAAATCATAATTCTAATTCCTTACACTGATTTATAACCCTCATTTAACCCCAGTATGTTGATGAACATTCAGAAAGTCACTTTATCGTCGCTCAAAGGTCATCAATATCTATATATATATATATATATATATTCGCTGAAGAGTAGTTTTCTAAGTTTTATCTTTTACATTGATCCTATCATTTCTACTACTGAATGACTTAGGTAGTTTGATAAGTATTCTTCGTCAAGAATTTCTATGAAATGAAGCATAGTACCTGGAAGCACTGGACGGCTTTTTTCGTCCTATCGCGAGACTCAACAGCAACGTGCACTCACGATCCCGTTTCTCGAGATTCGAACCCATAACCTATCAGTCTCGCCCGTGAGCGCTTAACCACTAGACCACTGAGCCTATGCGGCCTATGCTCCATTGGGAGTAACAGGAGTAAGTAGGTAAGTAAGAAGTACAATACTTATTTGTCGTTAATTAAGTTCCGAAATAGACTTTTGAAGTATTGGTGAAAGATGTTATCACCCTTGAAGTCAATCTATTCGAATATGAACTAATAACCTATCTAATAATCTATCTAATCAAGAGTCTTTCGACACCATAGATTCATTGAATTCTAAACTTGTGAAGATGTGGATATCAGCTTAATGGATAGTTGTTCAATGTACCTCTTCAGTTTATTTTACCTCATTGCCGTAACAGATTATCTCCAGTCTAGTTAAGTCTCTGTGTATGAATTCATAGTTCACTTGAAAATTTATTTTGTAAATAATTATACCTTAGAAATCAGCAAAACGTTCAACTATGCTCTTGGTTTTCTATATGAAGTTGAGAATATATATCGTTCGAAATCAAGCAGTACTGAACAGCCGTTTCATTCATGCATAAGATTTCTCATCATCTATGACTAAACTGGGTTCGATCCTCGATCTCGCATACCATCGCTTACTTTCAGACCACTAAGCAAACATCTACTGGTTTATATGCATAATTTCAATCAACCAGTATTATAGAACAATCACCTTTCAATCTATTTCACACCCGATATAACTGAACTCCATTGGTCACGGTTTCTCAATAGATCTGTAAGATTAAGGCTCAAAACCAGTGACCAATGAGTATATGTTCTCACTAAAGATTATGCATTCATATATGAAACTGAAAGTTTTGGGTTCGACCTTTGGTAATTTAGTTATGAATCTATACAACAGATACGTTCTATACAAGTAAGAAATAATTGTCTATTACTTACTACTTTTCAATAGTTCTCTCATAATAAATCAATTCAAGTTATTAACTATAATAATTATATTATGGTGTGAGTTACTTATATTCATATAAGTAGTATATAACGATGGTCAGACACAGAATGTATTTAAACAAGAGATTGAGAAGCAAAGAACGGAACCTGAAAGCAATCGATATGAAAATGAATAAACAATGAAATCACAGAAGATGAAATGATATTTACAGAAGAAATAGTTATGATTAAAACAATTGATTGATAAATTCACTTAGTATTGCTTGCTTGAATCTTCCCATTGATGTTTAGGGCTGTAACTGGTCAGTGAAAGGTATTGAATTCAAATCTTAGAGTGAACATCAACTCTGAGATACAGATACATTTAACTGACGAATCTTAAATAGGACGAAACATTCGTCAAGGTGGATTCCACCGCTAGCATCCATTCATCATTGCTTACAATTGATTGATAATATGTAAATTAACTGTTAACTGTATGGTTATCAGATTTAAGTGACATATTCTATAATTTCATTGTTGAATACATTCAATGATTCCAACATATCATCTAGTTCATTACAATACATTTTATACTGTTTAAATGAATATCAAATTGATAATAGTCTTATCTTATTTATCCATTTGTTTATCTCTATTTGTTTATTTTTTTTTCTCTTTTTTCTCTTTTTTTTCTTTTTTATGTTTGATTTTTATTTTTTTATTTTTTTTTATTTCTTTTTTTTTTACTTTAAATCAATAATTAGTGGAACAATGAGACAAAATTCACAATATGAAGCAACACCAATAGTAAATCGATCAATAGTTCAACAATCTGTTATACCATGTATGTATATTGTAGATAAAAGAAAAATATTTTTTTTAAAAAAAAAAAGAAAAAAACATACGAGAAAATGAACATAATGATTGATTTAATATTTTTTTTAAATTTTTACCCTTGGTAACAAGGATCAAAGAAAAGAAGACAATTGAACTTTAGAAATAATAATTGAATCCTTTCAGTTATTGTTGTCATTCTCTGAGATAGTGGTCTTGAGTGCTGTTAGAGGTATGAAGGCAGTTATCACTTCCCGGTTGCCCACACCGTGGAAGAATTCTTCTAGAGGTACCTGAAAAGGAAATTGGGTTAGAAGTGGTCTTAATGACCTGAGAGCGTGACCGCAGTGCACAAGGGGCAACTGCTTGAGGTCGGTCACACATGACCTTTTTATGGGTAGTTTTTGTGTTAGCTCCGTTCTTCAAAGGACCTTACCGCCCGAGACGGAAATCCGTGGAATAAGGCGAGGTGTACATTTTTAGGGTCGACCTTTTCTAATCCCATCCCTCCTTTGTGGGAAGGCAGCATCGCTGTCATGCTAGTTGTCTGAAGGAAACACCTTACTGCTTTCACACCTCTGTACAGTCAGCAGTATGACTTCGCCTTCGGACCTTGGGTTTGTTGCTTTTAGTCTTACCGCTCTTCAACTGACCTGTCTGGCATGGTAGGACCTTGAGGAACGATTTTTGCAGCCAGTATAGCTCTATTGGTTTATCACGATAGGCAATCCCGACCACCACGTCAAGGTAGCAGTAACGGTTATGGACCAATTTCAGTTCATTGAACTCATGAACTCTTTAGGACTGTTAGTCAACACTTAATCTGTAAATGACTTGGTTAACATTCAGTGGTTTATATTTATAAATAGTGATCATTTTATGATATTGTGAGACCTTCATTAATCTCACTAGTTGTATGTGTTTCAAGATTGAGAGTTACAGCACCTTACTAGAACTCTGAGCTGGTAGTTTAGTAATAAGATCGTCTTTAACAATGTGGAACGGTACTCTTGACGTTCTGAATTCGTTTATGATATTATCGAATGTCAGGGAACACTTTGGAAATACTTAATCCTAGAAAAGAATTCTTCAATAGTTTCTATTAACGATTCTATTAAAGACCGAATTCGAGGTCATTCTGGAATAATAACTAATGTTTATAGTTGAAATCATGAGTCAATCGAAGCTAGACCACCATGAAAAACCTGGAAGCACTCGACTGCCGTTTCGTCCTGTTGTGGGACTCCTCAGCAGTGCACATCCACAATCCTGGAGTTCTAATGAGACCAGTGGAGTTCAACCAGGTCTGTTGTAAGATATCAACACACTGAAGACAATAGTGAACCGTTGGTCAACTTCGTGGACTGGGTGAAGTTAGACATTAACACGATTGGATGCCGACTGACTCAGTGGTCTAAAGGTTAAGCGCTCGTGCGCGAGACTGATAGGTCCTGCGTTCGAATCTCAAGACGCGAGATAGTAGATCCCACTGTTGAGGAGTCCCACAACAAAGCGAAACAGCTGTCCAATGCTTCGAGGTTTTCCATGGTAATCTATCTTTAATTGACTCATGATTTCAACTATAAAGTTACTGAAATCTCCACAAAACCTCTTCTAATAACTAATGTTTAAACATTAGAACACTGGGTTCTCAACCAATGGTATACATTTCGAGCTTTTACCGAATCGCGATAAATTTTTGACACATTCCATCTACAGATCAAAATAACTTCCATCAAATCTATCCTTATTAATGTCATTGTTGTATTTATATTTATATTTATGTCAAATTTCAGTCTCACCAAATGGAAGTTTATCTGGAACAAATATTGGTGTTGATATTGTAGATGGTGATACAGTAGGAATGCGTCAAGTTCTTGATACTTCTAAATATTGGTATTTACCAGGAATTTCACGTCCTGATGGTATGTTTATTCATATTTGATTATGTGTTTAATTAATAGTAAATGACATCAGATATTTACTTACTTTGCTCAAAACAGAGTTGGATGAAGAGTACTGGTGTGCGACCTATGCTCCTTCACGAGGGGTAACAAGGGTTTCTACTAATACTACTTTCTTACTTACTTACGCTTTTTACCTCACATGGAGGAGCATGAGCCGCTCATCAGGATTCTCCATCGACTAAATGTCGATGATATGGAAAAATAGTTTGGTTACATAAACGAATATTGATCTTTCTCTGGTGTATATTTTTCTCACAACAAAATGGATCTCATATATCGTAAATGTGTTAATATAGATCATTCAAGTGTAGTTCAGTAGTCCAATATAATTTTACATTTATCACTTATTGATCAATATTTTTGAACTGACTGTTTAGGTTATGAGTGATGGACTACAGTCAGTAGTGGATTATTCTGAGCAAAGAATTCAAAAAAAGGGAAACGTATTCCTTTCTTTTATTCTTTGTGTTTGGAAGTCTAAAGTGTATATCACATGAATGGACACTAATTGACTAACTAAACATTGGACAGCCTATAGAACATTCCACTGTAGGACAATGTCATCCGCATACTTAGGGTGATGAAGTTTTCCTTCGAATACCAGATTCATGTTAACATCGCCATCATCTAATTCCTTCAGATATGTTTCCAGAAGATTATCATTAATATGATTGACTCTCTTCTTTAACAGCTTGCTGGAATCAAACTTTAGATGACTGTTACAGGAAGCGACAGAGTTTAAATCAGTATACTAGAGTAGATATCTGTTTCTTCATATTTTAAGAAATTACAGTTTGATCATAAAATAAAATTGACTAATCTAAACAGACAGTGATAATGTGGTATATGCTACTGATATTGACAGATATAAGTAGTATGTATCATCAGTCGTAAGTGAAATAGCTGGCAGAAGAAGGTTAAGAAGATGGAATAGAAGAGAAGGGTTATAGAGAATGATCGGTGTGGAAATGAAGGAACAATGAAGTTTGAGACGATTGATTGACATTTTGTAAATGAAGTATTTACTGGATGGTTCTTAGATGTTCTGTAGATTCGTGCTGAAATACATTTGGTTGTCCTCACTAGGTAATCTCATTCACTACAATAATATTTAGCTTTAATTTTATTCTTATCATTTAAAGAACTTCATGGAATTAGTTACCAAGCCAAAATGATTTTTGAAAGATGTAGGAATGAATTTATAACTAATATGTATAATTGTAAGCAAAGATGGATAATGGCTAGCAGTGGAATGCAGTTTGGCGCGTGTTTTGTCCCATTTGGGACTCGTCTGCTAAATGTACTGCATCTCAGAGTTGATGTCCACTCTGGGACTCAAACCCAATACCTTTCTCTTCAAACGCCATTGCGTTATCCACTCAGCTAATGAGTCCTTATAGCCACTTGCTTGTGCAATGGGTTTATTCAATGGAAAGATTCAAACAAACAATACTAAGTGAATTTAATGTTTATATTTGTTAGAACTTCTTATAAATTCCATGCAAAAGTCATCAGAAACCAAGAGACCTTTGAAAATACTTCGATTAATCAAAGTTCTTTCAAAAATCTTCAAGATCATTCTAGACAATTACAATCTATAATCATGTTTCACAATTGGAAGATCACTCATTCGAGTGACTATTATGATAAGAATTTTTAACACCAACTTTCTGTTTTCGTCTTTGGTTTTAAAAGTAGAATATTTCTCAGAGGACTGAGAAGTGGCGACACTATAGTTTATGGACGACCTTTGAACGAATCTTAAATGACCCTGAAAAATATTAACCAATCAGAAAACAGTAGGTACACTTCCTTTATATGGTCCAAAAACTTGTCAAAGTTAGAAAGCAGTTCAGAGGTTCCGAAATCGTAATGTACACAAAAGAGGAACTCACCCATTCGATTCCAACATAGTCGACCTCTAAATCCATGATAACATCACGACCTTTGTTGAATCTTTGTTTTCTAACAACTGTTACTCCAGACTTTCGCTTACGACATGGGTAATCTTGTCACTTTCACTGAGCATATATTTCTACTGTACTCATACCGGTCAACAGTAGAACCCTCAGTAACATCTGCAAATGTTGCAGCCAGTGTCACTGGTACTTTTATTATCCATTTCGCAACAATTATCATAATTTTTCCTTAGTCTCAATTTGGATTCAGAGAAAAAATGTTCTTATTCTAACAGACTTGTTCCTTTAACATATATTATATCGAAAGACAACATCATCACGGTAGTCTGCACAAGTTTCATAAGTCATTTGATTACCACAATCCCATCTGTTGTAATCGCTCACTTATAATGCCTTCTTTAAACACCCTCTCTAAACTGGTTGTACCTGAGCATGGGGTACTGAAATTGGCGCCATGACCTTGAAATCCTTCAAACTCATCTCATTGTCTCATTCATAACTTATAGTCTCGTTGAAATGAACTTATCAATATCTATGGAATGTGTATTCAGTATGGATTAGTTATGTTAAAGTTGTGTTTTCATTCATCTTAATCATACTTTATTTTAGTTATTGCATTATTACGTGATAAAGAACCAGGAAGTTTTGTTATTCGTAATAGTAATACATATGCTGATAGTTTTGGTTTAGCATTGAAAATTCCACCAAGTTCACCAAGAATAATATCGAATAAAGGTTAGTTATTCATTGATATATAATAATTTCCCTTTTGATATAATAAAATTTAATTATAAGTAAAAATGGATAGTGGGTAACAGTGGGATCCATTTTGACGCGCGTCTCGTTCTATTTGGGACTCGTCAGCTGTATGTACCTTCATTTCAGAGTTTATGTTCATTCCGGGACTTGAATCACAGTACCGTTCGTTTCAAACGCCATTGAGTTATCTACTTAGCTACTGATTCCTGATAGCCACCTGCTTGCTCAATGGAGTGAAGTTTAAATTCACTTGGTGTTTTTTACTAGTATCTTCCCATTGACGTTTAGGACTGTAATTGATTAGTCTCTTATTGACCATATGTGCATAATGTGTGTGTTGCCTTAAGTTACAAGCTTTATAAGCAAAGATGGATAGTGGCTAGCAGTGGAATCCAGTTTGACGCGCGTTTCCATCTTTGCTTATGATGCTTGTGACTTCAGGCAATATCAAGGCAGTCCGCACACGATGCACATATGGCCCATAAGAGACTGATCAATTGCAGTCCTAAACGTCAATGGAAAGATTCAACCAAACAGTAGCAAGTGAATTTAAAATTATTTATGTTAAATTGTTATTAAGTAGTTTCGTTGTTTGAGAAAGATAAGTTGCAATCTGTTTAGTTGAGTTTAAGACTATTAAATTGACAGAAAATAGTTTCGAATCGTACAAGTACAATCTATCCTCAGCCATATCTGATAACATCGCCAGCCACTGTGTTGCACCATTTCTAGAACTCCAACCAGGGAGATGTGAAGAACCAACAGAAGCCAATTCTGTACAACTTTCTTTCATATCATAACAACATATCATACACTGATTACCTCTCCGCTTTTTTCAACTAGTCCTAGAGTCAGCGAATAATGTACGATGTGGAATTCTTGGGACGACGTTTGTAGGACATGTCCAAGCCACTGAATTCGATGCTTCAAGATTGTGACACTAATTGAATTATTATCACTGTACCCGAATACACGATGCTGAACGTCTGCATCTCAAACATGGTGTTGCCACCATGTTGATCTTAAAACGAAATATACATATAAATATATGGAAGATTAAACCTTGGAGTTATAGACTAACCTGTAGGTTAAGATTACTTGTATTCATTACCATATATTTTATTCTTTACAGATGATATTCAATCTGAATGGGTACGTCATTTTCTAATTGGTACAGTACCTATGCATGATGGTCGTGGTAATGGAGTACATTTACGTGGTTTCTCTAGTGATCCAACATTTCCAAGTTTAGCAGCTTTTGTTTATTATCATATTCATAAACAAGGTGCATTACCATGTACACTACGTCTTCCATTATTTACAAATCAAACATTATTCAATCAACAAAGAACTACTGTTAATGAACAAACAGTTTATGGATTAGAACCTTCATTACAAACAATATTACCAACTACTAACACAATGAGTAAGACTTTATTGTTTTTGAGTCTTCAGATATATGCAGGATATACTTGTTAAAACTTATTGGATATAATCAGTTTCATTAAAACTGATAAACTAAAGTTTATCGAACAGTTATGTCGTTCTAATGTAGCACTACCATTAGACAAGGCTGCTTAGTCTCCCCCTTTATCTTTCTTCTGGTGGTCGACTAGATTATGAAGACGTCCACATTTGAAAGGAATCCAATGAACACGTTGGATGCAACTAGATGATTTGAACTTCGTAGATGACCTAGCTCTTCTATCCTGTACACATCAACGAATGCAGGTCGAGACAACCAGTGTAGCACTAGTCTCTGCAGCACTGGACCTGAACACACACAAAGGAAAAAGCAACATCCTCAAATCCAGCACGGAGAAGATCAATGCAAACACACTTGATGGAGAAGCTCTCGAAGAATTGGAATTTTTCACGTACTTGGTCAGTATCATAGATGAACAACAAAGATCTGATGCACACGTGAAGGCAAGAATTGACAAAGCATTCTTATATTTGAGAAACATATGCAACCCAGAACAACTGTCAGCTAATATCAATATCACAATCTTTAATACGAACTTCAAGACAGTTCTACTGTACGGAACTAAAACTTGGAGAACTACTACAACCATCATCAAAGAAGTATAAATATTTATAAACAATTGTCTACGCAAGATACTGTATGTCCGTTGGTTGGATACCATAAACAGCAGTGTACTGTAGGAGAGAACAAACCAGCTTCCAGATGAAGAGGAAATTAGGAAAAGATGTTGGAAGTAGATAGGACATACATTTCGGAAATCATCAAATTGCATCACGAGGCAAGCAGTCTCTTGGAATCCTGAATCGAAACGGAAAAAAGGTAGTCCAAAAAACATAATGCATCGAGAATTGGAAGCAGATATGCAAAGGATGAATAACAACTGTGAACAACTGGAAAGGATTGCTCAGGACCAGGTTGGATGGAGAACACTGGTGGGCGGCTTATGCTCCTTCATAAGGGATAACAAACGTCAGTAGTCAAGTAAGTAAGCAATGTACGACAACGTAAAATACACCACCACAACTCCACCAAAAACCGAAACCAAGGTGTTAAAATCTCTTAATAAATTTAAACCGCTGAGCTGGATTACAATGGTTTGCACACATTTCGATCTATTCACGATATAGCTCAACGATTGTATAATATTGTCTATGATCTATATCTCATTTCCAAGATATTTCAACGTAATCACTCAGACTTTCTCAACAGAATTTTGAAAACTGATTTCGAAGCAAGTTATTAGCAAATAACATTTTGGTTAGACTTTGTCACACTACATAACCAAAGCTACATATATACAAATGAAATTGTTTTCATAGTATAATTTTATATTAATCAACATATGCTCACCAGTGAATGACTCCAACAGGTAGTTCCTGGAGTTCTAGTGAGAAGCAGTGACAAATGGAGTTCAACCGGTTTTGTGTAGAGATAGTAACTCATTGAAGACAATGGTGGATGTGTCGCTCAATTTCTTGGATCGGTTGAAGTTAGACATTAACACCATTGGATGCCGACCAGCTCAGTGGTCTAGAGGTTAAGCGCTCGCGTCCTGGGTTGGAATCTCGTGAGGCGGGATCGTGGATGCGCACTGTTGAGGAGCCCCATGTTAAGACGAAACGGGGATCCATTGCTTCCAGGTTTTCCATTGTGGTCTAGCTTCAATTGATTCATGATTTCAACTATTATTGTTAGATTAAATAGCAGAATATAAATTTCATTCGATTAAACTAAATAAATTTTTTTTGGTATACTTTCAGGTACAGATATGTTATACCTTGGTTCTGTTGAAGTAGATCGTCTTGAAAATATAAATGCAGCAATTCGTGGAATTGGAAAAATTCTAAGTTTAGCACAAACATATTCAGATGGTTTACCAAAACGATGTGAAGTACAAATTAAAGTGATACCACATGATGGTATTACATTTACTGAAAAATATAAACGTGCTGTATGGAGAAAAACTATTAAACCAAATAATTTATTATGGTGTGGATTAGATCCAGAAAATCGAGAGTAAGTTTTGTAAAACTTAATTTGTAATCTAGAAGGATTAAGATGATTTAATCGCCATTATGAGATATAGTAACTATGAAGTTAATTGATCCAAGTTAGTTAAGGGTATCAATGGAATGTAAAGAGAATATTTCATTCTATTTAAAACTTATTAACTGGATTCACTTGGTGTTGTTTACATGTTTCTTCTGATTGTTATTTAGGAGTCCTGGATTCCCCTAGTAGCCACTATTCATCTTTTCTTATAATGTTTGTGACTTTAGGCAATATCGAGGCAATCCGCACAGGATGCACATATGCCAATAAGAGACTAATCAATTACAGTCCTAAATAACAATGGAAAGATGCAAGTAAACAAATTCATATGAATTTAAACTTCATCCCATTGCACAAGCTTGTGTCTACCAGAACTCAGTAGCTAAGTGGGCAACACGATGGCCAACAGTACTGGGTTCGATTCCTATGGTGAACACCAACTTTGAGATGCAGGTACATCCAGCTCAGGAGTTCTGAATAGGACGAAACGAAACTGGATTCCTTTGCTAGCCACTAACCATCTTTGTTTATCATCAACTGGATGTTTTTGGATTCTAAAGCTGAAGTTTACAAGGGTATTTAAACCTAATAGCTTTTATGTTAAATGTCCATTGGATTATCTATTACATTACGTTACTTATCAACTATTATGGTAAAATTCAATCACTTCCAAATAACAATGTTGCACTATCAAATGTATTTTCTCCCAATAATATAGGAATGAAAGTCTGATAATGCCATTTGTTATAGTTGAAATTACTGACACATAAGTTTATGAATAAATCAATGTTAGACCACCATTAAAAACCTGAAAGTACTGGACGACCATCTCATTCTACTATGGGACTTCTCAGCAGTGTGAATCCATGATCCTTCACGGGAAAGCTTAACCTCTAGACTACTGAACTAACATCCCATCGTGTTAATAACTAATTTCAATCGATCCATTATTTTGCACAACCCTTTACCCATTGTCTGAGGTGAATAACTTTCTCACACCCGACACGGATCGAACTCCACCATCCAGGTTTTCAATGATGGTCTAACATTGATCTATTCATGATATCAATCTAAACTCAACAATTTCCACAACCCTATGCTGATGAATAAGTTTGTATTGTGTCATTAATATTACTATTATTATCATCAAAATTACCACTTTTAAGTGAACTTACAAATATTGTTTAATTGAATTTTACTTCTATGGATTTTGCTTACAGATTTAATGATGCCGAATTACGATCTAAAGGAATGTATGGTTCAAAGTAAGTCATTTTTTTTCAAAATGATTCTGTTTATTTATAAAATATGGTTAATAATCATTCAATAGATATTGAGTTTGTTTTTAAAATGCTCTCGCATGGCCACTGTCAGGAAAGTCTTACTCATTACCTTCTCGCACAATGGGTGTTGTTTAAGAGATTGAGGGAACAAAAAGCGAATGTCCGACTCTTTATTCGCGTTAGTAGATACGGAAAATCCATCTAGGAGAGTTGTAAAACTCTCATTTCAAACCAATGGTGCTTATGGGCTTCAAGTTCCTGAACAAGCAAATGGTGTATGAACCTATTTTTGGTCACCGATTACCATGAGACTTCATCTCCTAACGTCGCTCCTCTGACTTGTGGAACACAGCTTCAGTTCGAAGGTTTCAAGTGTGGCCTCATAATAAAACCAACGGCTTTTATCTGGGCACCCGTTTATTTCAATAATTACTGGAGATATCCATTCTGATAATAACTATGTGCTCATTAGTAACTAGCTTCATGATGGATTTCTTGGAGTTTTAGTGAAAAGATTTGACCAGTGAAGTTCAATCCGTGTTAAGTGTGAGACAGTTATTTACCTCAAACAATGAATAAATGATTGCGCAAGACCATGGATCGATTGAAGTTGGATATTAACTTTGTGGGATGCTAGGTCAGTAGTCTAGAAGTTCCCATGTGAGAGATCCCGGATGAACATTTCTGAGAAGCTCGATGCTACGGCACGACGGCCGTCTGATGCTTTTTTTCGATGGAGGTCTAGCTTCAGTCAACTCATGAATTCAACTATTAAACTACTATATTCTTCATAACCCCCCCCTTTCTGATCTTCGATAGTGTAATAAAAAGACGAAGATTATCAGAACTATATGTTATATTAGCGCAATACATTCAGAACAATCTGATCACACGTAATACACTTGTTGGGAACATTTATATGTAACATCAGAAGGGGTTTTGTGGACATTATAGTAATTTTAATAGTTGAGATCATTAGTCAATTGAAGCTAAACCACCATGGATAACCTGGAAGCACTGGGAGACCGTTTCATCCTATTATGGGACTCCTCAGCAGACTCTTAATGGGGGCAAGAGATGAAAAGAATAATTTTAATAATAAAAATATTGTGAACGCAATTTGCAACCTAATCACTCTGCGTAATAAGCTAATATTATCAGAGTAGATTTAAGGTGAGAACAAACCATTTTTGAATACACGAAGGAGGTTTGAATTTTCATCTGGCTGAGGCTTCAGCAAATCTTAATATACACCCTTTTATACTTTTATAAAACATCAGAAAAGCCGAGGTAAGATCAATCTTATGGTCTGTTTCAATTCTATGTTTGGCAATAGAGGATGATGAATATTTATCCTTTACTCTTATTCGACCATTTGATTCTATTTGTTTCTGTAACCATTTTGGTACATGTTCAAAATAGATCTTATCATCATCGTCAATAGCATCGTTTGTGCAAATACCATCAAGCCTGTTAAATAGGAACCTTATCAAACCCCGTTTGTATTGCACAAGGCATTAACTATATTAACTAAGGTATTGGCCCGTTCACGTCGGACCACATCAGTCTCTTATTCGAAGAGGAGAAGAACGACCGATTTCCCTTCCTAGATATACTTCTAAGCAGACGAAAAGATGACTCAATCAAACGAACCATTTTTCAAAAACCTACGTGGACCGGCCAATACCTTAGTTACTATATTTAATGTCTTGTGCAATACAAGCAAGGTTTGATAAGTTACTCCGGCGAAAGATTGGTAGGTCCTGGGTTCGAATCTCGCAAGTGCGGGATCGTAGATGCCCACTGCCATTGAGGAGTCCCATAATAGGACGAAATGACCGTCCACTGCTTCCAAGATTTCCATAATGGTCTAGCTTCAATTAACTCACGCTTTCAAACATGATTATATTTGTTTTATTTGTTTTCTTTTCTCTTATTTTCATCTATGCTTTTTTCCTTCTTCTTCTTCTTATTTACATTATAGAATATTGGCATTAGTTGCACGTAAACAACGTTTTTGGTTACATGAAAATGTTGTTTATGTATTTTGTGAAATTGATCATAATCATTCAGCTTTAAATTTAGTACGTTTCATTAATACTATATTTCCTAATTTAAGGGATTAATTAATCTTCATTATTACTATTTATAGTATTATACTATTCGTCTTCTTCTTCTTCATGTAATGTTCTATCTCTACATATAATGAAGGATCTCGAACTTCAACAATGATGAATATAAAGTTCCTTTTCAATTTCATTTCTTCTTATCTTTATCAAAAAAGAGATAAACTTTCATTATATATTTAATTTATATTTAACATGGAAATAATTCATATCCCTAGGATGATGATGATCATCATCATGAGGATGATGCCTCTGCTGCTGCTGCTGCTGATGATGATCATGATGATGATCATGATGAATGAATGAATCCATTGAATCAATGTTTTCATTCATCAATGATATTTATTTATTTATTTTTTTTTGTTTTTTTCAAATTTCGTTTCATACTTTTTTCTTTATTAAAAATGTTTCTTTTCTTTTTTCTTGACAACAAAAAAAATCAATAAATTTCGAATGAAATTATTTCTTTTTCTTTTATAAAAAAAAGGAGAAAAAAAAAGAGAAAAACACTTTCGATTTATATATAGATATATCTATTTCTTACTTTTAAATTTATCACTCATACATACATCCTATACAATGGATAATGAATTATTTCATTTTAAAACTACCGCCACTACTACTAACAATACTACTTATAATACTACTTATATACATTTTATTATTTATTCTATATATCTGCTTCTAATTATTTATTTATTGATTTATTTATTGATTAATAATCGTTTCAAAATTTGAATTCTTCTACTTTTTTAAAAAAAAATTTAAATCATAAATGAAACAGTAAAACAAATTTTTTTTAAAAAAGAATGATGTTCAATATTCAATATATATTTCTTATCTGTTTGTTTTAAAAATTTATTCAAATGACCTTGATTAGTGTTAGTGTATTTAAACAAAAAGAAAAAAAGAAAACTGGTTCTCCTCCTTCTTCTTCGTATTTTTATTTCATTTGTTTACTACTGAAATGATTCAAAGTAGTGTTTACTTCACGATTTACCCTCTTCTTACTCTTCTTCTTCTTCTTCTTCGTCGTCGTCGTCTTCTTCTTCTTTTTTATCTATGGTATTCCTTTCTTGAGTCTTCTTTCTAAATGATAAATATCTATTCAGTGAATAGTTTTATTCTATAATTGAACTTGATTGATATATATTACTTAATTTTCTATAAGTAATAATGATAATAAGTCTGTGTTTATGCAATGATGTTTTTATTATAGAAGGCTATAAATCTTTTTTTCTAAAGACTATATACATATATATATATATATATAAATATATAGATATGGGTTGCTTAAGTGATAGTTCTATTTATATTTATGTTTGTTTAATCTCTACCTTTTTTGAAGGGTTATTAGTTTAAGTGAACAAATATTTATCAAAATATTTTTGACTACTTATATACTTATAAAGCATATGAACTGTTCTCTCTTTCTATCTCTATCTCTCTCATGCACACGCACACACACGCACACACACACACACTCACACATACACACACATACTCACTATCATGAAAGCTGAAACATTAAGCTAAACTACATACATATATAAATACACATATATAAACAGTTTCCAAGCATGAAATATACTACTCATTTATGTACTTCAAAAAAAGAAGAAACCAATATCTTCTTCCATTTTGTTTTTGTTGTTGCTTGAATTCAAATTGCTTTAGCTATAAATGAACGAATTTAAATTTTTTTTGTACAAATCTATATCATATTGTTTTAAACAATATTAATTAATAGTAATTATTGGGTTAATGTTTTTTTTCTGGGGGGGGGGGTTGGTGTTAGGGTTATGTTTACATGGAAACAATCATTTGTTAGTAACTATGACTGATTATTATCCTACAGTGTTAAATAGGGGTGGATTATAAACTGTAGACTGAATAGTGTTGGTGAAAGTTATTCACAAGATCTAGGTTTATTACTTAGTTAGATCATATATGTGTCTACTACTGATAAGTTTGATAGTAGGTTAAAACCAATGTTCAATGCTCTGTGAACCTTAAAAGTAATTACTTAGTGACCAAGAAAACTAGTGGGGACAGAATATCTCCGTAAAATCAGACAACCATACATTAAATAGGTAATTTGTATACTATCAATCAATTGTCTTAATCTTGACTGTTTCATCTCCAACTAACACTCCATCGTCTCTGATTTCATTTTTTATGCATTTTCATACCGATTGCTTTCACATTCCGTTCTTTGCTTCTCCATCTTTCACTGAAATACTTTCTATGCCTGATCGTCGTTATATACTACTTATGAAGATATAAGTATCTCACACTACACTTCATAATGATGTTAAGAATTACTTTCTCTAATTCACTGTTAAATGTTTAGTGTCTTCTTCTTTGATCTTCTCCTTTGAACTTGGGGATTCCAGATGAGGGATTGTCTTGTGACTCAGTTACGTGCTTTCCTCAATGTGTGTCCTATCCACTTCCAGCGCTTCTTAATTTCTTCCTCCACTAAAATATGCTTTGTTCTTCCCCATAGTAGGTTGTTGCTGATACTTTTTGGCCAACAGATGCAAAGAATTTTGCGTAGACAACTGTTAATAACCATTTATATCTTCTGAATGATGGCTTTCGTGGTTCTCCAAGTTTCCGCCACATACAGTAGAACTATCTTGACATTTGTATTGAAAATTCTGATCTTGGTGTTGGTTGACAATTGTTTTGAGCTCTAGATGTTTTTCAATTGTAGATATGCTACTCTTGTTTTGCTGATCTGCGCCTTCACATCTACATCAGATCCACTGTGTTAATCAATGATAATCCCCAGATGTCTACAGGTTTTCAAATCCTCCATAGCTTCTCCGTTACGTGTAATTCGATTGGTGCATGTTGTGTTGTATCGAAGAATCTTTCTTTTCCCTGTGTACAATGAGACCCATTGCTGCTAAGGCTGCTGCTACACTGATCGTCTCCTCCATTTGTTGTTGCGTGTGATATAAAAGTAAGATCATCCGTGAAGTCTAAATCGTACAGCTGCATCCTAGCTTTCCACTGTATCTCGTGCTTCCCCCCTCACATGTTGATGTATTCATAATCCAGTCGATCACCAGGAGAAAGAGAAAGGATGAGAATAAGCAACCCTGCCTGACAACAGTCTTAGTTCAAGATAGGAAACAATCACTTCGAAAGATGAGAAAAAAAGGATAGCTGTTCACCGATATTCAGTTGGTCTTGATAGCTTGTATCTTCCCATTGTTTCTTATAACTGCAATTAATCAGTCTCTTATTGGCCATATGTGCATCTTGTGCGAATTGCCGCGATATCACCTTAACTTATAGGCTTCATAAGCAAAGATGGATAGTGGCTAGCAGTGTAATCCAAGACGCACGTTTCGTCCCATTTGAGACTCGTCAGCTGGATGTTTCTGCATCCCAGTCTTGTTGGTGTTCACTCCGGGACCGATATGTTGTAAAATAAAGATTTTTCTAAACCTCCCTATTAATCAAATACATAGAAAGAGAAGTTCATTTACAAATTAAGTTGTGTCTTAGTCTTCTAACCTAAGACTGATATCATTATATTATCCGGTATAGCTAATGTTATTATCATAAGATTATTAAGCATCAATTACACCATCAGAAGTACAAACAAACAAAAGAAGAAAACAATGTCCTTGAAATGATTAAACATAAACAAATGGAAGTATTATACCGATCTAAATCATAAGGTGGTAACACATGACTATGTCTATTAATATCGTTAATTAACAAAAGTATTTGATTGTTTATGTTTAGAAAATAATGAAACTATTCAAGTAAAGCAAACTTTCACACATTGGTACGGGAAGATATCTATGTCATAGAATAAATTCTATCATGGTAACAATGAATAGGGGTTCGATAAATGGTTCACTGTGATAAACAATGGCCATGTGCATATAATGACTGATAGGGAAGTCCTACTCACTGCATTTTTGCTCCAGAAGTGTTCTTTACGAAATTCAAAGGACAAAAAACCAATGTCTGGTTAGCGGTTAAACTGGGTTAGTGAATACGGAGGGTACATTTACGGGAGTTGGGAAAACCTCATTCCAAACCAATGGTTCACATGGGCTGACTCCAGTATCCTTAAGGAACAAATGGCGTATGAATCAATCATTGGTCACCGGCTACCATGGGATTGCATCTCCTTACGATGCTCCATCGCCTTGTGGATTAGACCTCTAGGTCAAAGGCTCCGGATGTGGCACATATCTCCTAGATCAGTAACAATTTCTCACTGACACTTAAGAAATAATAAAGAGTTCAGACCAATTTAAGAATACACTTTATGAAGAACTAATCGGCTACTTCCTAACTTCATGAATATTGCGTTTTGTCTAAAACGGAGCAAACTTCAATTATAATTACGCCTGTACGTTTTTAATGATACGCTCATTTCTTTAAAGAACGGGTTGATTGCACAGTATCTGTATGGAGGTTATGTAAATTTTTTGAATATTATTGAAGTCACAAACCGATCTAAATTAGATAACCATTGAAAACGTAAAAGCACTGGACGATTGTTTCGTCCTACTATGGGACTCCTTACTGGTGCGCATCTTCAACTTGCCTACAAACTATCGAACCTAAAATGTCCTCAAACTGTGTCAGGTAAAAGGGAGTTCTACACCACAGCAAATGGAAGATAGTGGCACAATATCGCAAATTGATCGAAGTTAGACTTGTACAGCATTAAATCCCTTCCTGTTCAGAGGTTAAGTATTTACACATTAAACCGGAGGTCCTGAGTTCAGTTCTCGATTGCAAGGTCATAGATTCGCACCACCAATAAACCCTATATTATGACGAAACAAAAGTTTATTACTTTCAGCCTTTTAATAGATATTGGACTTAGATCGGCTCCGGATTTGAATGAATTTACATTTTCAACATTTTCAACAACATAGAATCAATACAAGCTGTTAAATCAACCATTTTTAAATAGAACTGCTGGATCTCTGCCTTGAACATTTTAAAACAGCATCAAC